TTTTGGATCATTTTTTCTTGTCATCCTATTTATAAACACACAGGCTGTATATTTTCAAATAATTAATAAGCATAGTATTATTTCTAAGTATTATGTACCTGAAAACCTACAAAACAAAATCATGGTTTCTTACGCTTCACTTTAAATACACGTAAAATCTTTCAGAATGTAATTTAATCCCCTCTGAAGCTACCTGACCGTACTTCAGTTTCATACAGTGAAGACCCACAGAGTGAAATCCAAGATAACAAAGACTATAAACCATGACACTGTAACACACCTGCCTCAATTAGATGAGGAGTGAACAGACAGGCTATCAAAGCATTGTAAGTTATGAAATAAAGCTTAGCATGTGGCTTAACTGATAACAAAGTTAACATTCTAACAAGTATCGTTTTCTTTCCAATCATTTCACTTACCCTACATCAGGATTTCTCAACCTCAGCACTACTGAGGCTTAGAGCAGGATAATTTATGAAGAATTACATTGTGGAGGGCTGCCCTGTGCATTGTAGGGTGGTTAGCAGCATCCCTGGCCTCTGCCCACTAGATGCCAGTATCATTCCCTACCCTCAGTGCTGACAATCCAAAAAACGACTCCAGGCATTGCCAAATGTCCTCTAGTAGCAAAATCGCTCCTGGTCGAGAACCACTGCTCTCCACAGAGATGAGAAATAGTTACATACAAAATATATTGAGATATTTTAGTTTCCCTTTTTTTTTTCATCTTTACATTTACATCTTTAAACACCTGGAATTTATTGTTTGTACGGTATGAAGATAATGATTTAATATCTGGTATCATGAGAGCCCATTAATCATTATTTCCAAAACTTTCCACAGTTAACATACATAAAACCCTAAAATATAATTTCAAACGATTTTATAAAGCAACATAAAATATATTTGATTACTTGTACTAACCAAGTCAGACTTTGTAAACGGAGTCAATGCTACTAGGAAGATGTGGTCACCCATTCTGAAGCAAGAAAAAGTTCACAGGACATTGTTTTAAATGCATAACCACTACAGTCACATGCCACTCTATGATGTCTGAAATCAGGAAAGCTTTTAAAATAACCCAAATCAGTTGCTACTGAGTTCATTCCAACTCTTGGCAACCCCATGTGTGTCAGAGCAGAACTGTGCTCCACAGGGTTTTCAATGGCTGATTTTTTGGAAGTAGATCACCAGGCCTTTCTTCCAACGTGCCTCTGGACTTGAATCTCCAATCTTTTGGTTAGTAGCCAAGCACATAAACCATGTGTACCACCCAGGGACTAAATGATGACAAGGACTCCTTAACATCCTGGAACAGATTGTCAGGATGGGGTCAGTGGCTGTTCATGGTGAACTGCCTAAAAGTTTTTAAATATCTACGATTGTGTCCAGATCAGATTAATTTAAGATGAAAACGGGAAATCTTGGTAGAAAGTATCCAGAAAAAGAACATAAAATGTAAGACAGTCTAAAACTTTGTGCAGGGATAACTCATTAACTGGTCTTAGTTCATTTCTCATTTTGCTTTCTTCATCTAAGGAAAGCTGTCCTCTTCTGAAGAATTTTCAAAAGGAAGATATTTTACATGCCCATAAGGGAAAAAAAAAATGTTATTAAAAAAAAAAAGAAAATAAACACTGCCCATTTAAAGACTTGCATTAATCTTAAACATAAGACAAGTTTCTTATATTATTTCAAAGCATGATTTAATGTTCTCTTTATACTTACAACACACCTATCAACCAAAAACAGACGAAGTTTTAAAGAATAGTAAGTCCACCTATATTGCAATGTTGAATCAGCACCAAGAAAGCTATAGCTTTTAACGATACCATGTACTCTGGAAATGTGATAGCCAAAATTGGGGCTATCAAAAACAAAATCTGTACTTTTTCCAAAGAAATATTTTATTTGCAAGTTTAAAAATGCTGCTTTCTTTCCATATGGAAAATAATGTTCAAGTTCCATTAAGGCATAAAATGGTGACAAAAATGATAGTTTTAACATTTAATAGCCACAAAGCAAAATTTTAAGCATTTACTCATAAGAATGTGGTTTAATTTCTAAAATCTGATTGTGATCAGTCTTGCTTCCTTTCTCAGGGCTTAAGGTTTGGATTTCGAGTGGAGGTGAGGGAAACTAAAAATCAGAACAGCAAATATTTCATTTCTGACGGCAAATATAATCTTGTTTCCTTCTGAATTAATTAAAAAAAAATTTTTCTTCCTCTACTTTTCATTTATAACACAAAATTGAAAACATATTACACAAAATTTGTTTTTTGCTTTTTCCACTTAACATTTTCCTTTGTCTTTAAATATTCCCCCAAACTTAACTTTTAATGACTATATATGAGTTTTATGGAAATATCATTTAACTGCTTTTCTACCTTAGGGATTTTAAACTATTTCCAATCTTTTGATCTTATGCTGGGATGAAAATTCTTATGCATAATTATGTCTGTATCTCAGGTTATTACTTTAGAATAAATGCCTAGAAGGTAACTTACTAGTTCAAATAGTCTGACCATTTCAACAGCTATATATATTAACAAATTGCTTTCTATAAGCTTATAAAATTTACACTTTCATCATTTGAGATTGCTAATTCACTGTATATTCAAAAATAATACCAGATTTCCTCTTTTAAAAACCTATCAATTTTAAATGTTAAAAATAATATCACATTGTTTTATTTTATATTTTTATTGTGAGGATGAACTTTTTTATGGTTACGATACATATTTCTACTCTTTCAAATTGTCTGTCTGGCCTTTCATCCACTTTCCCATTACAGTGTTAGCCCTTTTCATCTTAAATTACTAAAACTCAATATAAAGGCATCTAACTGTTGTTTATGGCATCTAGAAATTTCTAATTTTTATGCTGTCAAACCAATCAGCTTTTTCCTTTGTGATTTTTCCACTATTTTTATGCTTAGAAAATCCTTTCCCATTTTAACATATTGAGATATTTTAGTTTCCCTTTTTTTTGCCATCTTTACATCTACATCTTTAAAACACCTGGAATTTATTTTTTTGTACAGTGTGAAGATAATGATTTAATATCTGGTATCATGAGAGCCCATTAATCATTATTTCCAAAACCTTCCTGCCTATTTTTCCAGATTAACTTTTAAAATCATATTGTTAGGCCCCCATCCTAAGCCCCACCAAAAAAAAATCATATAGATTATTATTGAAATTGCATTAAACTATAAATAAAAATCAGGAAGAATGTATAGAAGAATGTTAAATACTGGGGTTATCAGGTATCCTTATCTTGTAAATAATTTTCATAGAAATACAGTATCTCATTTGTTTAGTAATACATTGGCTTTCTGTTTCAGAAAGAATTATTTTTTTGTGGATTAGAGAAATAGCCTTCTATTTTTATTACTAAATATTTAACTGAATATAAATTTTGTACTTTGTCAAATGACTTTGCAACATTGTTTTGGGATGATGTACATGTGTGTATTATGCTTTATCCTACAGATCCCAAGTGTAAACAGATATCTTAATGGTGAGCCTTCCTTTACTTCTTGGCTTAAGTCCTACTCTTCACAGTATATTATTCTTTAATATGTTGATTATTATGAGTTGCTTGTGCTTTAGTTCATTTTTTTTTTTTTTGTATGTAACTGTTTCTCATCTAGAGCCTTTCTGAAGATAACTTCTGTATAACTATTAAAACACCGATGGTTACTATTTTAATTAGACGGTCAACGTCTTTACTTCACTTATATTTTTCCTGAGCATCATTCATTTGGAGATTTCCAAATTTTAGTGTTGTACTATGCACAGTATTCTAATCTTTAAAATCTCACCTGCATTTACTATTTACATACTATTTTTTTTCTCATTTGGTGTATTTATGATTCTCATTTTTCCTTTGGTTTTGGATCTTAAATATTTGTCTTATATTTCCCACCTTCCCTGTACCCACCAAGAATCGGCTATTTGATTAATGTATCACATCTGCTTTTTTCCTGCGGTCTAACTTATTTTCACTTACTTGCAGAGTGTATCTGAAGGTGTTTTGTGTTGTTCTGTGCTATTAACTGAGTTGTTAATAGCAACTTACTGTGCACATACCCTGGAGAAGACTGCTGTGCTTTCTAATCATTAATTCATTCATTAGAAAGGTCATCACAATCCAACTACGAGTCAGAATCGACTCGACGTCAATGGGTTTGGTTTGCTTTTGGTTATGATTTACTGCATTTTTTGGAATTTATTTTGAATAATTTGTTAATGTTTCAGAAAGCAAGCTAGTAACTAAATCTGGTCTTACAAAACTAGAAACTACTTAGATTGTGTTTTTCCAGAAGATACTGCTCCAGTGTTTTATACTGTTACATTCTCAGTACTATGTGAGCCGAACACTTCAAAATAAATTTAAGTATGGGGAAGGAACAAATTTAATGTTGGAAACCATAATTTTTAATACAATATAAATACAAGCAATTTAACCTTATTGAAATTAGGGAAAAAATATACTTCAAAAACCACATGTTTCTTTTTAGGAGTGATACTCTGTGGTAAAACTCAATACTTGTATAACTGGTATTCATGCAGTCTTGCAATTTGCCCTTCTTTCCTTGTCCATCAGATTCTCTGGTATATGGTTACAATAATTTGTCTTGCATTTTTCCATGCAATTTGGGTTCGTTTTCTAGAAATGCTGATTAATTACATTCATTGTTCACTGTGAAACTTGTACGGACATTTCTATAAAAGTATTTTCTTTTAAAATGCACTTTCCATATTAAACATAAATGGGGAGGGAAGACTTGTCTAAAAATGTTAAATATCTTTAATTTTGGCTCCTGTGATTTACCCACATCCATAGATGACTCACTCTCTCACACGCAAAACCTCTGAATAGAACTATTAGAAGAGTTTCTAACGACAACTGAGTTCATATTGTCAAACACGTAGCCATCATGGTACAGGGAGAGTTTAGAAGACGGAAAAGGAGAAGCTAGAAGCATCTTACCTGCTTTCCATCCAGTGTGCAGAGCCTCTTGACCACTCCTGAGTCTAGTTTAATGGCTTCAGTGATGTCTGTTAAGACCTGTTCAAAGGAATGAGCAGTCTTTTTATTTAGAAGGATCCGCACTGCTTTTCTGGGCTTCACTCCACTTCGAATCACAGTCACTAACTTGGGTTTGATGAAATCTTTACTTTCTTTCACTTCGCTTTTCACAGAGGAGGTAGCAGCCAAGGATCGAGTTGCCCCACCCTTGATGTTCACAGACCAGTTCGGATTAATATTTTTGGTGTAATCGACTTTACGAAATGGTTCGTTGGATGCACACACGTAACTCTCACCTAAAAAGTAAAATCAGTTTCATTAGTATGGTTATCCTCACCATAGAAGCATTTTTTTTCTGAAGAACAGATGCCAAAGACCTAGAAGCGAACTCCTAAACTTAAGTTCACTGAGACAGGATTTACGCCCTTTTTCTTTGGCATCCTCCCTGCCCGCTTTCTTTTTAATGGCACCTCAACTGGCTTTAAGGGAATAACATGAATGACAGAGTGAAAAGCACTGGACCAAGAGGGCAGAGTAAGACTTGGCTTCTATTCTGACTAAATGTGTCACCTTGGATAATTCACTTCTTTACACTTTGTTTCTTAGAATCATTATCTGTAAAGTGAAGTGGTTGAACTAGCTGAACTCTAAGGTATTTCCTAGTTCTAAAAGCCTATTAAATAATCTAACTTAAAAATCTCATTCTGGAAGAATTATATCACGATAATATATTCATATAAAGAAATTATATTTTCCTCTTCCTTCCAATTACATATTTTAGTTCTAATCAAAGAATAATCACTACATCATAACATAGCTCACTAAATTATCTTCAGTTAAAGGATAATTTCCTCAATTAATGAAGTACTGGAAAAACAAAGAGTTTTAACAGCTCAAAAAACATACCTCAGAATGACACAGCTTATAAAGACAATGCTCTACATTCTACCTTGGTGAGTAGTGTCTGGGGTCTTAAAAGTCTGTGAGCGGTCATCTAAGATACTCCACTGGTCTCACCCCTTCAGGAGCAAGGGAGAATGAAGAGAACAGGATACAAGGAAAAGATTAGTCC